TTAAGTATATAACATTTTTTAACATTTGTATCTACTCATTAAGATATTTAAGAGAACGCCCACTAGTGCCGAATTCCACAGAAAGTCTTCTTTTTTTTAATTTATTCATTAATATGAGTTTACATGACGAATGTGAGGGTGCCTGAGAAAATGTACGCGATTGTCTGTTAAGTGGGTGGATATGTACGCACGTTTGCACATTTATACATGCATGGGTGTGTAAATGTGTAACGAAGAATAATTTTCTTTAAAAAGAAAATGATGGAAAATTGAAAACGATTTCACATTTGGATTTCGTTCACGAGCAATAAATGGATGTATTTTCGTCATTCTGTCTTTTTCTTTCTTTCTTTTTCTCTCTCTCTCTCTCTCTCTCTCTCTATCTATCTATCTATCTCTATCTCTCTATCTATCTATCTATCTATCTCTATCTCTATTTATCTCTCTATCTCTATCTCTCTATCTCTATCTCTCTATTTCTATCTATCTATCTCTGTGAGAGGGTAATTGTTCTTTTGTTGTTGTTTTTGTTGTTGTTGTTTATGATGATGATGATAATGATGATGATGGTGAGGAGGAGGAGGAGGAAATAATAAGGTGGTAAAAGAAGACAGTTAAAGAACCTTAAGTTTTAAATACATGTATCAGTACTGATGACGATATTTATGTTAATAAAAGCTAAAAATTATAAAGAAAAAGCCCAATAATAATAATAATAATAATAATAAATAAATGTCAAAGAAAGAGTATCTGAAGAAAAACTGAAAGAGAAGAATATGAAAAACAAAGAAGAAATTTAAGAAAAATGTGATGATGATGATGATGATGATGATGATGATGATGATGATGATGATGATGATGATGATGATGGAAAAGGAAAGGTATTTGAGGATTCGATGGAGAGCAGAAGAAGAAGAAGAAGAAGAAGAAGAAGAGTGGAAAGTAGAAGAAAAATGTTTGAAGAAATACTTGGAAAAGCATGAGAAAATATAAAGAAAAAGAATTCGGAGAGAAAAAAAGAAAAGAGAGAAAAGAAATTTAAAAATGAAAAAAGAATTGAAAGAATCTGAAAAAAAAAATTTTTAAGAAAAAAAACTAAAATTTAAAGAAGAAGAAGAAGAAAAGAAAAAAAATAATTTGAAGAAGAATTTAAAGGAGAAGGAGGGAGAAGAAAGAAAAAAGAATTTGAAAACAAATTCGAAGAAGGAGGAGGAGGAAGAGGAGTAGGAGGAGTGGAAGAAAGGAAGATGAACGTATCAGAAGAACGATTTGAAAAAAAAAATCTAG